AAAAAACGAAATCAAAATTTTCCATGGGATTCTATTTAGAGCATTGGCGTAGAATCTGTGCGGACTCCTCGCACAAATTCTAGTCAGAAAAGGTGTGACAGCCTCTACACAGAAACTGCGTAGAATACTGTGGCCCTCTACTTAGATTCTGAGCAGAATGTAGACTGGATTTTTATCAGGGTAATCAACAGCTCCATCTATTCACGCATTTTGCTTGGCTTCTGTGTGAATCAGTCTAATATGAGACAGACGCACTCCGCATCTTTAGCACTTCCCGCCCTCGTCCGCCTTCCCCCTACGACATAACTATGTCCGAAGAGCCATAGGTGAGCTCGGTTGCAGTGAGTGATAAAGCCAAACGACATATATTCGCTTGTCACAGACGACCTGATCCCGATGGCATGTGCAAGGCTTCCAAGAAGGCGGATAGGATCTCGCATGAGTGATTGCTATAAAGATCATGTTAGGAAGAGACCATTGCATCCTGACTCATCGTCCTTCAGTCAGTACAAAATGCGCCCAGGAGGACCAAGTTACCCCGCATGTGGTGGTCTTTGCAGTAATTATCCATAGTTGCAAAAATATTATATTTTTGGACTGTCTTCCGTGCGCGAATGAATTTCCTGGATTCCTGTGGCTTACTTAAGAGTATTTTGTTATATCTTGTAAAAACTCAACAAGACTTCAATAAATTGAAATTTGTAGGCGCACATGCAAGTCCACATGGGATGTTCTAAAGTTACTGTGCATGCGATTATGTTCAGCCATTCTTTTATTTTATGTTTACCGTAACCACCTGAGTCGGATTACCGCTAGTTTTATTTTTAAGGCCAGAAAACTACAATGCACTAGCAAACCTGCGTGTTATTTTTAAATTTCTCATATCCAGACTAATTAATGGGCACATATGTGAACCCACCGGTTTTCTCTCCAGCCGACTCCGGGGACCATGCGAAATTTTTCAACTAGATAACCATTTAACAATCCCGTTTGTTACTCTTCCGTACCTGCTCGTTTGATTACAGGTACTTAGTAGCCAGCCCCATTCATGTTCTGCATACGAGTTCTCTGTGCAAGACGATTGGCGTGCTTGACCCACACTTTCCTCCTTTGGTAAAGCCCCAATATCAAAAGACCCAGGGGCATGTTCAGTTCGGAGCAGACTGTTTGAAAAGTGTCTTGTACATGGGGGACTATAGAGGGATTTGCCATGAACTTGCGCGATCCTTCATGTAGCCCTACGCATGTGTCCATAGCCGCCTTTGACGGGCTACATATTCGCGCGGATGTCAAACTACCTGACTCCCTCAAGGGTCTAATCTCTCTAGGTAGCTTGGCGTAGTCGAGCCTGTTTAGCTGGTAGCCATTGGCTCGGCCTAGTAATTTCACCAATTTCGTCTTCTGTCGCAGAGACTCGCGATTAATGGAGTTGAATGCTGCACCTTATTTCATGAAGTACCAGCCCTTTGTCCGCCTGCAATCACGATCGAGCTGCACGGCGCGCTGAGGTTCGGGTGCGTTGTCACAGCATCCTCAGCAAGCAAGGAATCAGTTTAGTTAGCTCTCGTCCTTTCGTCACGCGCAGCAAACTCGCTCCCACCTCTCCATGCCTGCCTTATTTCCACATGCAACTAACATGGAATATAGTGATGACTGCGAAGATTTTGTCTTCCCGTGCATCTCGTTGTTTTACATCCCCAGTGTTTATCGGGGACACTTCCAGAGAAGCGGGTCGTGCCAAGCACTTTTGACCAAAAATATATTAAACTGATTTCGAGGATCCTCACTTGATGGCTGATTGATCTCACCTCAAAGAAGCCTCTTGAAGCTCTCAGGAAAACCTTTGACAAAGGTGGCCATCCACATTGCAAGGAGCCACTGACCGCAGAGACTTTGCTCCTAGCTTGGTGAATGAGTTGATAGATTTTTTAATGGCCACAGGGCATGAAACCCACTCACAAGGCAGGAGAAAGGCATCTAGAACACCATGCAGATTAGACCGTTATGCTCACAAAGGGGACTTAGGATTATTGACGGAGTATTCCAGAGGCAAATGGTAAGCGGCTGAAATCGATTTTACGTTCGATAATTTTCTTGTCCCTTCGCCAAGTTAATCAATTAGTTTACTTCGGTTCGCAAAAGTTATTGCACTTTAGCTCATATTTTGATGCAAATAACCCGTGCATATATCATGGCTTTAGACCGCTGCCGACGCATGTTAAACTATGAGCTACTTTTAAGAGTTGTAAAGGTGTCAGACAACAATGTACGCAGCTCCAACAATCAACATTACCAAAAGCCATTATTCTCAGGAAAAAGATGCAAGATTTGAACGCGTTGATGAGACACTGGAACGCAGTCAGTCCATCAATATGCGTGTATTTTTGTCCGGTTGCACTGCCTGTTACCAGTTTCCGACTGCTCTTTACAAGTCTTCCCGTAATTACGTTTGCTGTCGGTCCTTTTGGGTCAGCTCAGTGCCTTTTCTACCACTACCTTGCTTAACTACCCATATCGGAAAGGTCTATCTGCCTCGGCGTCGAGTTTCATCATGCATACCCAAATACTGTTTTCAAAAGCATGTATTTATCTGAACGATGTTACCCAAAACTTTGAAATAGAATACACCTCAATAGATTGATCATGCTATAAAACGCCATTTGGTCGATAAAATCAACTGTGTCGCTGTATTTTGTCGAAACACTTTTCTTTCATGACTGCGTCACTCCACTACTTTTGCCGGGGTTTTCAAGCTTATCTTGATTTCAGATCTTTCCTTGCGTTCATGCCTATAGCTGACCTGTCACCCTGTACATTTTGCAGCATAATAGGGCCCATTTTCCTGATTTTAGTGATTGACCTTTTATTCGGTCCTGTCCTTGCCGCTGCGCCTTATTTAATACTCAGATTCCTCTGGCATGACAGTTCAGTCGTCGAAAGAGACAACTTCCGCCGTATGCCTTGCGGAGTTTGTGACAAATCAACTGGATGCCTTTTCTGTACTTTTGTTAGGCCAAGAAGTTTTATTTCTTGCCCCATCTTATATTTCAAGTATTCATTTCAGGAAAAAGTCTTCCTTTGCGGTGGTCGTTCGCGATGGATATGCTCAATGACTTTGTTGCAGCCATCGGTCGCAGAAGGTTTACCGCCTTTAGTGAGCTCCGCGACGCTGTAGAGAGTTTCAATGAAGTATCTTTTTGCTTTGGAATCTCCTCTCTCACCTAGACTGTTAACTAGCGTATGGATACGAAATTTCGCATATTCCGGAGCCACAAGCTTCCCCCGGGACACCAACACGCCAACACACTTATCTATCGATCTGTCCACTATGCCTGTCGTTACAGCAATTCAGAGGGCTGTCCGGCGTCCTTTCTGCTCTCCTATTTTAATGGATGCCTCATCTGCAAGCATATGAACCTTGCTCACAACCACATGAGTATCACGATGAGAGAAGTAAGCGACAGCCTCGCCTCTGACTACAACATCGTGACTGATCTAACAGAGGATTTCAAGCGAAGATTTCCCAACCGTATGTTCGCCTCATTTAAGGACCTTACGAGCCGACTGAATGAGTATGAGCAGGTAGGCGACACGCATCCGTAACTTATTTACTAACCGCACCAGGAAACGGGTTCCATGTTTGTCAAGAAACACGTGAAGCACTGGGAGACGGACAGTGGCCACCGTTCAACTCTGGTTTATAAGACCCTGGCTTTCCACTGCATTCACCACGGCCAGCCCTCCTCAGTGGCCAGGACGTTTGCCTTCAGTGGGTATGTTTGCAGGTTATAGCGTCAGAACACTAAATTGAAACTCTCTTCACGCACTTATAGGAGCATGAAGGTGGGCTGTCGAGCGAAACTCTACGTCTCCAGTATGAGTGGTCAAGTGCGCATAAAGAGCATCAACTTAAGGCACAATCATGAGGTGTCGCCGCAACTGGCTTCCACCTACAACCGCAACTTGCGACTCTCTAATGAGGAACATAGTCTGATTGAATCTCTGTCAACCACCAACCTCACGCCCAGTCGCATTTCTGATCTCCTAATAAGTAAGTTTGCTTTAATGGCGACAACTGCTCCGTTCCTTCCTTAAAGAGAAAACCCATCGGCACTTGCCGCCACAGACGATACGGAAAATGGTTTATCGCGCACGACGGCACCTCAGCTCAGGATCACAAGGACAGCACCAAAAGGAACACGCCAGCGTGGATACTGACACGTCCGCCAAGTGTGCCGATTTTATATGGCATTATAGGGACGACTCTGACAACCAGCAGTCTTCATTGCCATTGTTATGCACACCTTCTGAAGTCGACGCAAATGAGCAAAACGCGCATCTTCTTCTGAATGGTTGTAAGTTCTCCTTTCACTTCGTGTGTCAACGGGGGTGGGAACTAAGGAATGGAACTCACCTAATTGTAATTTGAACCCGTTTGCTACTGTTAAACAACTATATGCAGTCAAAGGCAGAATAGCTAAGGCAATGAGGGCTGATACTGACTGCCGGTCGGTGCGTTTAGATGGGATTGTGTAGTTAAAGCGGACAATACCGACTTGTCCCAGGTTTCATTGCGTTGCTATGTCTACGAACGTTTATTGCCCATTTTGCGGGTAACGATTCCACAGTCCAGTGAAGGCTCTCGGAGCCACGTCATGCAACAGCATAAAATTAACGGGACTCCCGTCTTGGTTTTTAGCTAGCCCCCGCGTTTGAAAATACTTTGGAAATACCTCACATAAATTACTATTCGTAGGAAGGTTGCACAAATTAACACTGATTATACCCATTTTGCGGGAAGTTATGCCTTGAGATTTCGTACATTAAAATGAAATACGTCTACCTCGAAAAATTCTTAGACACAATACACCTAGAAATTCTCATCCGATTACTCATGTACTATACCCTCCGAAGACACATTACTGCTGTTGTATCATGAGCACCAGGAGGCCTGTACATAGGGCGATCTGGGGGAATGCACTTCATGTAATATCAGATCCTCCGAACAGGTGAAGAACGCAGGCTGTTTTACTACACTGTCAGGGAAGTATTTCGTCTTCTATTGCCGAAATGTCGACTAAAGTTAGGAAATTTGAAGAAATATTTTCCCCCAAAATCAACATACATTGATGATTTTGTGTACAGCCCTTCAAGGACTTATGATTACAGACTTACCAACTGTGGCTTCTTCTCTCATGGAGACCGCCCACTGATGTTAACTTTTTTTACAGGCCTATTTTCTTTCGAAGCTCACGTACTTTGACCGTATTTGTTACTTAGAAATTTCAGCCGTTCCTTTTTTCGTTTTAGCTTGTGTAAAAGCGGAGCAATGCGGAAACGGTTCTGAACTTAAATGTGAATTGGTCACGAGAGGTGAATACGAACAGGAGGCCTCTGAGTCTGTAAGCAGGCACTTTTGTCAATTCGCGTTCTTCTTCGGGTGCATCTGTTAAGAATCCCTGAGGAATTTATTTGCCGCAATTGTGAGGGGCTCGGCGGGATTTGATCCCTTGGCAGGAGGGGGAAAAACTTGAGTACAGCCACCACTAACGACCTTGGCTACGAGACCTTGGAGGAGGGCCGTGAGTTTACTCACATTTGGTCAAGTTACCCGCCCCTCCTACTGCAACGTATGGAATCCAATTGCCCTTGTTGTCGTGGGTCCGAACCCCACCGAGGTCGCCGAGTCTTTCACAATTGGGCCAAATGAATTATTCAAGTCTACCAAGAACGCCTATTACTGAAAAAGTCTGTGTAGCAATATTTCGGTGCACACAATAATACCCTTACTAAGGTGCAAGGGGGTAATGACACTCTTCCTGATTCCCACATTAATCTGCCGCCTGTGAAATAAATTTCCTCCCCATCTGGTGATGCTATCCGCACACTGTGTGCTTCAACAAGGTTCTGACCCGATGCGGTTGTGATCTCAACTGCCACACCATTTGGAGGGTGGGGAGTACAGTACCTAGTTTTCCACAGAATCCTTTGATTGTCGAGAGCTATAATCGACAAGGCGGGAGACTGAAACGCCATTTCTAGCTTATTTACTGGTTTGGACTACAGACTGAATCGCCAGGGCAAGCATAACGTCCATATTCCGCCCTGAAATCTGCATAGGTCCTTGGACGTCACCTTCAGCTGCTTCGTGATTTTTGCTCAACAGCCTGCCTACTTGTCGGAAGGCAGTTTGCGCTTCTTCACCCCATCTCCCTTCCATTCTCTTCGGAATTCCTCCTCTGCTCTTTTCTATCGAATCCAGGACCAGTCAGTGTTTTCGAACTACGTTCTTGCCTATTATGACACCCTCTTGCATCGTACTTGACGTTCTAGGGTTTAATTACTTTCGACATACAGTGCGTGACCGATCGCATGAAATGTTGGCCGAAATTCTGAATTACATTTTCGACTAGGAAGGATTACCTAGGTGGGGCTGTAGTATTGATTAGCATGCGACATAATCCTATAGCATTTCGGACTCACCAGACTGCCGGCTATTAAATGCACTTCTTTCCGACCTCCTACAGAAACAACACTCAGTAAAAAATGACTACTTATGTAGCATGCAATTTTCACATTTGTTTTCGATGGTCTTATAAATTCAATATATTTTATAGAAAACATGCACAAAATATGCTTTATTTCACATGTTTGGTAAAAAATCACATTTTCTTTACATTTTCTACCCAAAGAAAGTGCATATTTAGGTTTTGAAAAAGTTTTAAAATTCCCGAAGAATTTTGAGCCAGATCAGCCGTTGCATTAGCGCTTAGCGACTTCAGTCTGCAAGGCGCATACTTTCCACGTGAGAAAAATCATATATTTCTCCATGCCCTTAAGAGTTCATAAAATTGTGCAATTGATGCGGACTATGTTGTACATTTCATGAGGAGCACTGGTAAACGTACGTGTGCGATGCTGTATATACGGACATCGCACTGTCTTAAAAATCTCATAATTAGAAACTTTTAAAACCGCATGATAACCTTTCTTAGGGCATAAATGCGACTTTCTACCATGCTAGTAAAAGAAAGCATATTTTTGCGCATGTTTTCTGCAAAATATACTTGACTTTATAAGACCACCGAAAATTGACGTGAAAAGTGCATGCTATTTAAGTATTCATTTTTACCAAATGTCGTTTCTACAGGAGGCCAAAAAGAAGTAAATTCAAAAGCTGACATCGTGGCAAGTCCGAAATACTGTAGGATTGCGTCGTATGGTAATCAGTATTACAACCCCACCTAAGTAATCCTTCCTAATCGAATACGCATTCCAGAATTTCGACCCAAAATTTCCTGAGTTCGGTCACGCATTGTAGTTGTATTAGCAGCTGGAGCCGAGGTGAGGATTTTTTCATCAGTAGTTACCGTTGTGCTTATCGCCCGTATGATCACTTCCATCTCTGTTTGCAGTAGCCTAGAGTATTACAATGGAGTACCGGAAGTATTGACTGCGTTGGCGGAATTGTTAGAACTAGAAGGATATGATCACCCAGGACTAGTCAGTGTTCTTGAACTACGTTCACGCCTGTTGTGGCACCCTCTTGCATCGTAATTGACGTTCTGGGGTTTCATTATTTTCGGACTAGTGTAAGCAGTTATCTCTGCTTGTGTGACTGATTTTGCCTCTAGTAGTATGTTCCTCTTACTTGCTTAAAACAAGGCCCCTGTCCGGTGTTCCGTCCCTGACACCTTCACAGGCCGCTGTCCATCCACGTCTGTTGCCAGTTTGAACTGGATCGCTCGTCATGAGACCTGCGCCACCTGCGCTGTCCCATCTGATGTGCAAATCCTGACCGAGGCACTCGATGGCCGCCGACCCTGCAGCACAGAAATCCCGGTTGACCCTACTTTATCCGAAATGCATCTCGCTCGTGTAAGTGCGCCATTTTCTCGACGGAGCGGTCCCTCAAAAAGGCAAATCTTTGTCATTCCGGCCCCACATCAGGTGTCCTAGTGATCACTTGGTTTAACTGACGCTTAATTGCCCTGCGGACACCGAGGGGAAATTCAGGCAGGATGGACCAATTTGGCAGGACTAAACGAAGTTGGTTTCACAATAACGAACGTCGAAATCCCTTGTACTTGCTGGTCAGAGATGCTGGTTAGTACACGGATATGTGTACCCCCTCCTGAGTTATCTCCCTATAAAGTACCTTTTGGTACATTAAAGCAAGTGTACGGCGCAGATGCGGTTTCTCCTTTTTGTATATTTACTAACACCACATTTCCTTGCCGAAAGACCCCCATTACTATCATTCCAGTATTACAGACGGCCATGCGCCATAGTTCAAAGGAGAGGGTACATGTATCCGTGTCCGACCAAATGCTGTTAGACTACTCAGTTGGGTTCAGTGGTAAAACTGCATTTTAATTGACCCCTATCCTTGTTGCGCTGGGATAGACCGTGGAGCGTACGCTGATTGAGGGAGCACTGGCCTCAGACTTTTGACTAAAAGCTGTGGGAATGATGTTCGATACAACTGAGCGTAATTGGCTGTCTGGCTTAGGTTGAAGTATTCCCCCGTTAGTCAGTTAAAAAACGCATCCCACATGACGAAATAGAAGCACAACCAACAGTCCCCTCTGCCACCCCCAACTAATCATGTCGAGCGACATCCTAACCTATGCTATAGTCTGATATTTCTTGTCTTTCACGCAAACAATCGTGCTTTTAACAGTTTTGCCAACTGATGACCGTGCATGTCGAGCCTCCTGACTTTCAGCGATCGTACTGTTGATAACCCTGTCCCAACCTCTTTAATAAAGTCTAACTGAACATCTGGGGGTTTCGCCACCAAACGACACTTATTTCCATCCAAACTTTTCCGACACACTCGCTTGTCAATGAAATTGAAATTGCGTTCTCTGATATAAGAAAAAGGTTGAAGCTAACTAAATTACACATATGTTATTCTAGTTCACGGTTAAGTAACCAGTATTCCTGTACATGACCTCCGGATCGTATCCATTTCCGTAGTTCGTGGGGTTGGGCCGATGGCCACAACTCGGGAAATTACTTTGTTAATTCACTCGTCTCCTTCCTGACAATTTGATTAAGGGCTACGTTGTCAACAAAAGTGTTGTCCCTCTCGCCTAGGACTCTTTTGGCTTGCAGAATATGCCGTTCGACTCATCTCTCAAGGGGTATTAAAGTCGATGACGTGGTACTAAAGTTGTGTCAATTTTGGTATTCCTTACTCTTTCTACAACAATAGCCCTACTTGCCTAACTTTAAATGGCGTTCACTTTGACTTGCCAACCACACTTTGTCTTGAAGGTTGATTGCCTCGCAAACCATTGCAGTCGGTTGGTGGCAGATTTGCTGGCGAAATTGGGTTATTTGTCATTGAAGCCGTGTACTTCAACACAGTAAATAGCATTGGGACCCTGTTTTGCCATGCTTACCCTCGACACCGCCGCCAGCCGGGATCGAGTTTCGACTGCCTTAGAACATGTGCGATCTTGCCTCCAGCTGGACAGTGTACATATGATTGAGCTACCGCAGTCGCCCGTAAGAAATGTGCTGTTAACTGATTTTCCCGCATACTTGCCCTCTGAAGACGCGAGCGGAGAAAGGAAATGATTCCTCAAACACAGACTCTGGCTCCCGGGGATGAACAATGCAGTACATCCTTATGGATGTCGTCGTGGGCGCCTCGTACATTTTCCGCCATTACTTTTTATTGGTCCCACGCTGATTCAAAGGGTTTTGACGGAGTCGGGCGAAGCCCGATCCCATAGTTGACCCAATTCTCAATTGCACTGTCACCCTGCCTATTTGACAGAACGAAGGTAGGAGTTTCGCCATCTACCAGATGTATGTAGGTACAGTGACTGACGCCATCTTACGTCCTCACACTGGCGGAGCCTGCCTTCACATGCTCGAGTGTCACACCTGTAAGGAGCTATCACAACCCGACCAAGGACTAGGCTGTCATCTCCCCGGCCATTAAACCTAGAGTTTCGAGATGATTTGAATACGTGTTGTTTGGAGTTTAATGCGGAGAAAATTGAACGGCGTTGTCAATGCATTTGGGCATTTTAATGCATATTTTAGAATATTGGTTGGTTTTTTGCCTTTAGTCTCTCCTGTTAGTTTCCCCGAATGTTGTGAAGGATGTACCTGCTAATTGTTTACTACTTCTGGAGTAATTGGCGTGCTTTTTTCTAATTTTAATGCCGGCGTTTTGTATCCGTCTTAGTTCCGCACCAGCCGATTGGTGTTGATGGGATTAATGGACTATATAACTGAAGTTTAGAGCTCCGCCTACTCAAACAGAATCTGAGTAAAGTATGTAGTCAGATTAGTAGTGCTCACTGGAGCTGAACCTGGTAAGCCATGGGTCACACTTTCAGCAAATCTGTACGCACTCTGATGCCCTTTTAAAATAGAAGATATACACCACGCTACTGGTTAGAGATCTTGATATCTTTTTGGAGTTAGGGGTTCACCCCCGACTTTAATTCCCCCTTCTCCGACTTTATTCACTTACACCGTTGTGCGTCATGGTTACATTTCGCACCACAAGGTGCAACTCGAACTTCGCGGAGTGGCCGATGACTGCGAGAGCTGGTAGTCGAATGGCCTATGCTAACTTGGCTAATTTTTCTACTTGCAGGTTTTAAGGCAAGCGACTTTTGAGGATATTGTCAAATTAGCTGGACCTAAGCTAGTGCGGGGCATGACGCTGTGGAATTTTTTTCGCCTGCGCTACCTAAACAGCGACTCCTCGAGCATGCCTATTCCAAGGATGGTCGAGGAGTACCTCCATCTGGTGAAATGTTTCCAGACTTTCCTGGCTGATCGCCTCAGACCCCTGGCTGCCGACAGTGGAACCTCCGCCTCGATGAGCAGAGGACCATCAGTTCTCTTCTCTGCCAGGCCCGTTCTTGGGAAGGTTCGTCTCAAGGGTCAGGAGAAGGTGGTTGCGGGTGAGTTGACGGATTTTTCCATGAACCCCAAAATCCCTGGCATGCTATTTAATTCGCCACCCCTGCAGGAATTATAACGGGTGTGTGACGCTCCTACACTACTGCACGATTCTCATCTGTGGTTCCACAAAACTGTGCTGATCGCAGCGACCTCACTTCGACAACTACTATGACTGGCAAGCGAAACCTCATGCAGATGATCGGCGTACCTCTCAGGTGTTGGTTCATAGGTGTGATGCATTGTCCCGTTGTTTGAGAGGGGCCTGGCCTGTTGTGGCGCACTTAGATGGGACCAATATTTGCTCATCACTGAACCCAAACCCATCGCCAGTCATCCTAACCCAGTTTATATTGTCACCAGTTAAAAGGCGACACTGTTTTTTTTAGCATTTAATGATACTCGTAAAGGAATTTCATTCTCCTTTTCAGGCATTGTCAAAAAGGTGTTACACTGTCGTATTTTTTTCTCCGATGACTACCTTAAAGCATCTTGACCACCTTCACGCAACAGCAGCCGCAAGGTCTTTTTTCTTCTTTCCCTGGCACGTTTAAAATAAACATCGATATTGGTTTTCCTAGCATCGAGTAAGCAACCCCGGCCATAAGCCATACCCTTGCCGCGAAAAGTCACAAAAGATTGTCGAAATGACTGTGTTCAGTTTTTTGCTCCTCAGACGGTTGGGTCTACCGTCCAATATCGGACACAGAAAGCTAAGATCGAGCATCTGCGTGTCATGCTATTTCAGGAGGCCCGCGCCAACTGTTGCTTATCTGTGCCACGTCCGCCACGTGACAATGCCTGTGTACCGATGATAAGAACCTGACCCTCGTTAGCTTAGACTTCTTTGTGATTAGCGCTGGAATACCACTACTTCCATCATAACCTCAGCCGGTCATTGCATGCTCTGTCACCCCACACTGCTAACACTTCTCTTCGGGATCGTTCAACTGCGCGTAACTTCAAAGTTCACACGTACCATACCCTCTGACTAGGTGGGTTCACAATCCTCCCGTAATTGCATACGAATACTCCTGCTGTCTGGCTTCAATCGACCAAGTTTTTCTTGCCCCTTTCTCTTGCGTCCCGGCCGTTAGGACGAAAAACCCTAAGCATCTGGTTCTGTAACAGTTTAGGCTAAACGTAGTTTATGTATTTGTGCCTTATTTTCGTCGTCTTTCGTACTAATTTACCTAGGGTGTTCTTCTACAGAACAGGCATTGTGTTTTCTGTTCCTGCCCGCTGCTTCTTATTCCTGAACTTCCCGTTCAAAGGACTCGCAAGAGGTCTGCCCGCCGAGTTTGGTCTTCTCTCTCCGTCTGTTGGTGAAGGCGTTCGACTGGTTTCTCCTACTTCTTCTATTTCTTCAAGACCAGCTGACATAGTGGTAGGTTCTAGTTACCATTTCGAAAAATCTGTCAGTTACCTCCTTGTTCATTTTCGAACATCTTTTTTGTCAGCACTTATTGTTACTGTATGGGCAATAATTTTTTGTATCGCATGCGCCCATCCGTCAAAAACGACTGACGCACCTGGGCACGTATAGTGATTCTGGCGGCTATAAAGAAAGGCTCATTCGCTGTAGTAATTCCAGAGTTCTTTTTGTCGGGACTCAGATGAACTTTTAGGTTTCAGTCGGGATCATGCTTTTGTGAATTTCGAGGGAGTTACTAGTCCCTATTGTTGTTTTACGCCAGTTCATCATTTCCCCTCGTATAACTTTCATCAAATTCGGCCTTAGTGCATTCAGCTCTCCGCCATTTTCATTGCAGCGGGATTTGTCGTCTTGAGATTGGCATATTTTACCCGCATAAAATTTTGTTTGGAATTCCAGGGGAACTTTGGTGGGGCAGCATCATCCTTTCTTCTGATCAGGTTACTGAGTCATTTGGTGGAGAAGGGTATATTTTTGCGTTAGATACACGTCGTTGCCGTTCTTAGTTAGCAGTAGTACTGTACTCTTTAGTTCCAAATTTACTTCCCTTCAGATTAGTACCGCTGAGCACTCAACAGCTCTTGGTCTCCCAATCGGCCGCTATGTACTGCGGCGGCCGACTTCGTCTTCTAACCTTCGTAGTCCACGCCGAGCACGGGTAAAGGAGACGACAGACCTCCAGAACCAGCCTCGTTTTCCGGTTCCAGAGGATCCCATGCTGCACCTCGGTCATAAGGGCTGTAGAACAAGCCAGCTCTATCCTCAAAATCGCCCTTGCCATGTACGTAAAAGAATTTCATGTCGTTTGATTAAGATCAATAAAAACTTGAGGCAAAAGGGTGGGCTGACGGCTGTTCTGGTGCAGCGCGATAGTCCGCCAGTCGACCTTGGCCACGGCCAGTATTGTCCAGGAGAAGTTCCGATGGCCTTCGCGGACACTGAATTATATGGAGGAGAACTTTCGCAGCGTAGGCCTCGCTGCCTCTTCCCAAACCCGTCATCTTCCACTGACGAATCTCAGTCAGGCCGACAGGAATGACAAAATGCCCCTACCTACGTATGTCGCATACGAGCTGCTTCTCCGCCCAACGCAGATACCAAGTGGTTGCCATAAGGCTACACTAGCCAGGCATTTCAGCCTGTCTCTCAGTTACAAGTTCTAAATCGCGCACCAGTTGGCAGCCGTCCAAAGGATGACTTTTGACGCGTTGTGATGCCTTAGAGTACAACATATTGGTTATGCTGTGAAGGGTAGCACTGGATTCCTCTCACATTCTTTCTTTCTTCGTGTGTTAATGACCAGAGTGAGTTAGTGGTCTGAGATGAGATCGGGTACGTAGGCTGTCCAGACATTTAGTGGGGGTTTCTTGGGGACACACACTTTTGATCTCCGTTTACATCTAACGTGGCAGCATTGTTCACTTCGGGGGCCCAGCGCATAAATGCTCACGCATTCCCTGGCTCATTTCTTGTCTAACCGACCCGTAAACACATCAGCAAGCCAGTCAGTCTTATCCAGGCTATTTCGCTTTTTTGCGATCTCGGTTATTGAAGGGCGACGTTTCAGGAAGCCAAACAAGCCGTCTTGTACCATTCCATAAACAGTTAATTCCACCCCGTCTTAAGAAGGAATGTTCTTTAATGGAGCATTGACGGAATTTCTCTTCGAGCGTGCCTGAGACTCATCGAGTTGACCGCATTTCTGTCGTCTATTTGTACTTATGGACTGCTTTCCGCCCCCATATTTCGATGAAGTTTACCGGTGGCTTCATCCGCTGCCAATTTTGCCTGATTCCACCCCGTATCTGTCAGTGTGCCTCGGTTACTGTCGCCTAATAGGTGGGCACCTGTTTGTCATCCCCTTCAGCAGGCAGTGGTTCTTGCTTTCTTTGCATAGGTAAATACCACTCTCCCTTCTTTGAGCCTGTTTGTGCGTATATTTTGCTGTTTCCTAGTATCGACTGTGTGCCGAGAGTCTCGGTGAAGCCATCCCCGCCGAATTGATCGCCTCAGGTGTCTTTTTGCCTTATCTGCCAAAATCTGACTCCTCCGTTCACTTGCAAGATCTAGTCATGGAGGCTGCCACTGGGCGTATTTTCCACCGACTTTCGGGTCGCCTGGCTATGCCCGAATCCGAACCTTCCGCCTTATCTGCAGATTCCTCTGCATTGACCGCACATACCACAGATGGAAATGTCGGCACTGGCATTGGCGTGCTGGAGGAAGAAGGAGTCGAGACGGAAGAGGATCTCACTGAGATTGGTTCCCCCATTGTCATAGAGGCGCCGCCCGGCGCCGATGATACAACCTGCACCTCCATTGCGGCCGATGTGGCTGCGCGTCGGGTTGCTCTTCAACCAAGTGCCACAACCACCACCCGATTGACGTTAATGAGACTGCCCACCTCCCCCACCGCCTCGCTTGTTATTCGTCCGGACGGCGCAATATTCAGGGTACATGGTTTCCCTGTATTTGTTGGTTTACTTACGTGCGAGGGCTTGTTTTTTTATCACTGGCCCCCTGCATGACATTTGTGCGCAGGCTGTTATCAGAGCACGCCAGTTGGGAAACGCTGGAACGGCTAAATAGCACTGCAGATTAGCTTCGCGTGATTCCTTGAGCGGACAATTGCGAGACGACACGTGACTCAAGCTTCAATCTGTTAAGCTGTTGTGGTGACCGCTTCGCAGAGAGCCTTATAGGCCCTCATTAAAGCAAATTACTGGATTACTTCTGATTAGGTCTCACCCTTGACATATTTGAGGGGCCTTTAGTGCGCAGAAAGATGTTTGCCGACGCTCTCTTCAAGCGAACAAGGAAGCTGACTTGCAGCATAGTCCCGTAGAATCGATAAATGTGAAGCAGTAGGTTGAACGGGTAACTTGGCCCAAATATGATTGGAATCACGGCTCCCGGTGGGGCATCGTAGCCCAGGTGGCTAGACCGTTGGCTGCACAAAAGCTTTGGTGTCGTGAGTTCGAATCCCACTGAGGCGCCGAGTTTTCCAAAGTTGGGTCAAGATGAGTTATTCAAGATCTACCAAAACACCCTTTGACACCGATTAATCGAAAGCAGTCAATCCCGTCCTTAGCTAGACCGTGGGAGTAGCCGTACTTGTCACCTTAGAACCACGATCCATGCCTTATTTCTGAAGTTTCTACCCAACAGATATATAAAAAAAGTTAAAAGTAGATTGCCATCCCACTTTCGCATTCGGTGCGCAACCTAAAGACTCTGTGTTGTTTCCTATAACAATAAATAACTGAGTAGTTCAGTGCTTTTGGAGCGCCTGCCACATAGCTTATTGTCTGCTATTTCACAAAACGGTGGCCATCTAGACAAATAGGAATCAGATTATTATGATTCCGCGTCAGGATCTCGCCAAATGCTTTCGAATATATACTTCCAAAACGACGACGTTAAACACGAAAAAAATTGTTAGTTCTCAGTGCCTAGCGGTCGGTAATCTTAAAATTTGCGCAAAGTCGTCATTTGGGCTTCTTGCTTTCCACAGAAATTAATGCGTGAACTAGGGGTAAATTCTTCGGCACAAACCTTCTTGTGGTCGGTCCGAAAATTGATATGAATATCTGGGCCGAAGTAACCGCCTAATATTCACACTCCGGCCACAGGCGGTCAGTAGTACTCAAATACTGGTTGATTTGCCGTACTCCCAGCACGGGTGCTAGCTTGGAGTTCTGACACGTGTTTTGCCGGCTTTATACCGCTGCATGACGCGGTTGCGAGTGGTTTGGCTCCACAGTGGATCCCCAGCATCACTATACCCAAGGTTGCCACATTGAGCTTTCGCATTCCCTCAGGAGGTAATGCATGGACTTATGGACGATTCTTTAGCACACATCTCCCCACTTTCGGTCTGAAAGTTAAACTGAAATTCATCTGCTCCAGCCAGATAACCACCTAATATGCCCGTCCTTTCAACAGACAGTCATTGGTGCTTAAATGTTGGTTGATTGGCCATAATCCCGCTACGGGTACTAGCTAAAAGCCCAGGCATGGGTTTGGGCAGTTTTTGTCCTATGGTTTATGCAGTGCTATCTGAACACTTATTGCGGATTGAGACTGAAGCGGCCGTCCACTAGATTCCAGGCGCCGGCGTCCCGAGAGCATCTTTGTTTAAAAAATTCGACCTCTAGCCAAAAGCATATTCTCACTTATTAATATATCTTTTTTAGGTCGAACACGGTGAAGAGGGTGTAACAAAGACCTCTATGAGAGCTATTCTCCGCTTCGAGGGTTGATTTTGCTCCTTCAACCGACTGTTATATAACTATAGAACACGGATGGACCTAGCTCTGCACTATCTTTCTCCTATCTCGAGTGGAATTTGATCCAGCTGATGTCGTTTTGCTCGAAGTTTTCATGCTGTTTTCCCTCACAGCACTCTCTGCCCGTTTTCGTTATTATTTCCCCGAACTAGCCACCTTACATCCCTGGCCACTGTTTATCAGAAATCTGGGGATATTGAGAGGAAGCAGCCGTGTTCTGCCGATTGTGGAGCAAAGCACACTAGTTCATCAGCCGATACTCCCTTCGAATGTCTTCCTCAAATCGTTCTTAAAGGGAAAATTCTAATGGAATCACAACCGAGCATGCTGCCTGTCAAACCTGATAACCTCAGTCCGCTAAAGTACTCGGTTGTGGCAGGAGCTGGCGGTGCTGTCGCCTCAGACGTAAACTATAACGAGAAATGTGCATGGCACATGGGCTGCGGGACTTTGTGTAACATCGGCTACTACGTACGATCACCAGCCGCATTAACTCGGTTTCACCTGTGCTGTGGGATGGGAGGGATAAGCGAAACTAGGGCTAACCCTCCATGACATTTATTTACTGGCACATCTGACGATCTCGAACTATCACGCCGTCCCGGACCTTGTGGCTTGAAAGATTCTCAGTTAACTGGATAACCCGAAGCCATGAATGTAGAATGCGATGGCTCCATAGCGTAGAGTTGTAGGAACTAACACCGGAAGAACATCCGAGTAAGTGGACCTTAGTTCATGTCTGTTAGGCCGCCTGCAGTTCCTTCACGGTGATCGATAAGGGTCAGCGCTATCTGGAGGACTCAATGGTGACCGGCGCGTAAATTCGTTTACTACAAGGAGAGCTTGCACGCCACCTGCCTCTCCGTATGCTGTCTTGTTTCAATGGTAAAATGAGGTCGCTGCAGCTGCAGGTTTTCGTAGACGCAGTGTCTGACCTGGTCACCCTTCTACGTGTGCCACATGTTTGCTGCTTCCGGTACACCGAGCAGACTCGGGAAGGGGTGCCTCGACGAAGAAAGTTGACACTGAGGTCACACTAGAAAGAAGTCGCTGCAGGTCGACTTTCAGTCCGGCGAGTGACAAAGTCAGCCAATCATTTGGCTGCCCTCCGGGTCCTTTTGATAAGGCGTCGTTACAGCATAACAAACTGATGTAGAAGGGTTAGGCATTGTATCGATCTGCTGCATTCCACACCAGAGGCAACTTCGAGTCAAGACAACCGGAGATGAGGTCCGGCGTAGGCCGTCGTCTAGCGCGTTTTACGTCTTTTTGATCCACGCAGTGACGAACGCGTGTTTGACAGAGGAGAGATGGTGGAAAGTGCAGTCTACATCACTTTCAGCCGACTCGCCCTGCCACTGGAGAGTGAAACGAAAATAAGGGGAAATTGGGTCGATCCTGCGAGACGGCAGGGGTAAGTGCTGGGCGCGCATACATGGGAGCTGTACACTGAGTGAGCCATGAGCGTGGAAAAGGCCTAAGGTCGAGACCGCCTAAATTCCCCTGACTACAGTTCCCTCAATCATACGTCAATGCCGCGTCCCCGTAGTCAGATATGATGGACGAACTTCACCGGCATACAGGTGGATGGTCGAAGTATTTTGATGGGGACAAAGGGTCGTCCACGCTGGGGAGCTCTGAGCGCATTACGTTCGACCTTGGAAAGAGTCGGCCGATCTGTTCATTTACTTGGTGTATCAGATTTATCTGCTATCGTAAAAATTAATAACCTACATCCGAATTCCACAGTATACAATACCATGTGCGATCCCACTGCACTTCATTTTGCCCTGCCGACCTGTGTGACTTTTAAAATAGGTTAACATGAGCAAATCCCCCCAAGCTTCATGTATCACTTGTGTGCAGAGAATCTCCCCAATGCTGAATCAAATTCAACCAAGTTTGTATTTCATGTGGGTGGGTCTCTTTCAAAATTTTGATGCTTATTTGGACGCTTTTATACAACGGGTAATTAGGACAGCGGTGCGTGGACATAGCAAAGATTTTGCCAAAAAGGGATTGGAATGTCCATGAGTATCGGTGAACGTCACGCGGTGGTTGCCTTTAAAACCATACCAAAGAATGGCTGTAAATGGGAAGACCATAAGACTGCAGTACAGGAATTTAACTTACCGGTCAAAATTGCCCATTCTGTTAACAGCCGGTCCGAGTTCGCTTTGAGTTTGCTATACGTATTCGAGTCAGCGGCAACAAAAGGAAGAAACAGCATGTGAGGGGACATCTGTCGAAGCGTCTGACTAACGTTCGTTACTAACCGTCTGGTATCTTTCCCTCATCAGCGCCGTTAGTTTTTTAGTCGTCAAATCGCTTGGCTCTTAAACATGAGGTTGTTCGGCTTGCTGTCGTCTTCTGCAGGTGTCAGCAAAGCTGGTTTTTCTTATTATTGATTTTGGGCTTCGGCAATCTGCAAGGTGTCAGCCGGCCGGCCGCCGGCAAAGTCACCAGGAGTCAAATCATGAGGTGTTGCGTTCGTAACAAGCTCACAGCCCTTGTTAACGGTTTGGGCCTGTCCACCTGATCGCTCATCCCAAGCCCTGATTGATGCAGTTGGACACCTGATGTTCCATCGCAGTCTGATCACCAGCAATAAGCAGTAACTCCCCGTTTGTTTGGATTTTTTAACACATTTCGCGCCTAGTTAGATCTCTCTGTATTCGCGCTAATCTTAAAATTATATCACCCTACAAAGTACTCGAGCAAAACCGCTGAAAAAGTTAAGGTGTTTGCCATGGATGGCGACGATAACTTACGTACCAGCCATTATTCGGTGCATTGTTCGTATCGTTGGCTAAAACGCTGCGCCAGAATTGTGCGAACAGAAAAACCAGTGCTCAGCACTGTTTGGTTGATAGTCGAATGGTTGCTAGAACTCCTCAGTTACTTGAAGAAGAATGTAGTTACGCGGTTTCTGTATGCATATGCGCATTGCTGGAGAACCGAAATTCGAACTTCGAAGCTAGCCAATGGCCGTCCCGGTGTCGTGCAGAGGGAAAATCAAAATGCCAGCTGTTGGAAGCTGTTTTCCTGCCTCATGCTACACCGTCTTCTCATAATTCCACTAATAAAATTATAACCACCGAGTAAATAAGTCCAGAGATGGTGAGAAAACACTATCAATTCTAAGATGCTGGAAGGAAAAGGAAGGTGGTTTAGGCTCAACTATCGTTCAAGCTAAAATCTTCTAGCTAACATGAAGAGAGGCGCGGGGAACTAGGATGAAAAAACCGATTGAGCACAAGTGTTTTTCGTCGCAGCATGTTTGAATTCTCTACGAACGTCTGCTGACTGCCTATGGAACTAAGAGGTAGCAAACTGTCGCCGCCTACAACAAGCGCTGGACGCCCATTCCACTTGCGCCCAATTCTTACAGCAGATGGCTGATCGGCTTGGATATTAGACTGCAGAATAAGGGAGGGAGGATAATGTGGTGTCAGCTCTGGGGACTCTGTATCCACGGCAGTTCAGCGCACTCTTCATTATAAACAATCTGACGCGCCTTGAAACTATCACGACGCGTTCAAAATCGCGACTTGGAAGGCTACAAACTAACCCGGCAACTGTATCCATTCGAGACGGACAATCACGCTCAGTGAGTGTTTCTGAATGCGATCCCTGTAACATCCCCACTCAACTGGCATTCGAGTCGTCCCCTTTCTTCTGTAAGGACCTGTAAATGTCTCTGTGACTGGCTGTTGAGTCGTGTCCGCCACTGCGCCTGATCCCACCTCCAGCCGTCCTGACGCCGGATGAGGGAAGATATGATGGAAATTCGTTATTACCCATTCCATTACCTTAGTTATTTCCTTTGATCTGATACAAACTTGTTGTAGAAACGGAGGAACCTATCCAGGGCGAGGTGACAGAAAGCGATGCATGATTGGACAACATAGACTTCCGGTTTTCCTCGTGTTATTATTTTCTCTGTTTGAACACATTCGTGTGTCGCTACCTCCCCACGTTCGTCCCCCCCCCCAAAAAAGCCCTCTCATTAAGAGACTATATTTTATGCGGTGCGTTCTTCCGCTTGTTCGCTCCGAAGAAAGGGTGCAGCCGGGGCTGCGCAAGCATGCTATCATTACAAACTAATTTACGCAAAAATCACCATTCAGCGCCCACCATGCTGTGGGGCACACGGTGGACATCTTCGTTCGAGACAGTCGGACCGGCGAACAACTTGGAGCGCAAAACTTCTGTTATATCGTGAGAGAACTGCCAACAGCTGCAGAGACATTGGCATAAAAATTGGTGACAAGTGAAGTTGAGTCAACTTATTCGAGAAAAATCGAAGACTCTTCTCTCAGACACCGGAGTCCGAACTAAGTTAGAAAAACAGGTTCTCCTACAGTAATGCTCTGTTTGCCATGACCCTCACAGAACAAGACGTGTTTATTTTTATCATGCATTGCGTAGTTTACGGCAGCTCTCCCTGCTATTCATCATCGTAAAATGCTGGCGTAAACTGAGGTTAGCATGTTATCGGCTGACAGTCGGGTCATGTCAAAAAGCGGCATTTAATCGTGTGCCTTTAGTTATTGTACTCTTTTATGGACTGCCCTTTCGGAGCAACAAAATTTCATACACACTTTTAAGCACAAGAGAACACCATTTTCGAATACTCTAGAATTAATTTAGGAAAGCCTAGTAAGATACTCTCCTAGGAGAACGATGTTTAATGTAAATGGAATCCCAAATAAACACTTTTTATTCAAACAAGTTCCCAAGCAGGGATTAAACAATAAGTAGACGTTGGAAGGTTAAACACTGTAGTTCATTGTGTAAATGTCCCTTATCGAGCCACGCACTTTTCGTCAGATCACATTTGACAACCTGTGACGTTAGAATATGCTGCTTCCTGGTCAACCACAAAGGGTCTTATGCAGCCTGACCATTTGTCGAGTTGTATTTCTGCTTGGGCAAACAGCCGCTCTGAGATGAAGGTCTTGACCATTTGT